TCTATCCCCCTCTCCCTTCCCATTCAGGAACCAGGAATGGGTTTCACTATTGCTATTTCTCAGAACTAATAATATGCTCTTCCATGAGTAGGGTGGGGCCCACGCCCCATTCTTTCTCCCAAGAGGGCTTGGCAGTTCCATGATGCACTGAGCAGAGGTTTCCAGGGCTCAGGCCACTTAATGCAGAACAAATAACTGTGCAGGTATGGAGGCTGGGAGTTATTCTCACCCAAATGTTCTGCTGACCTCAGCACGTGGACAGGCCATTACACCACCCACAGGGGCCATTTCATGGGGAGGAAGAAGGGTGGGGATTTCTACAAATGTGCAGGGCAATGCTTGTTAGGTCTCCACCTCCTGGGGTCTCTTCCACTTGAGCCATTGCTCTCTATTTATCCTACAGTATGCCCCAGGGCCCCTTAGTCTCCTTCAGGCTCTGAGGCTTTTCAAGTGTGGACATGATTCAGTCATCTTTTGCTAATTGCAGAATTCTAAAAATTCTAGCAAATTTTTAGAAAAGCCACGGTAAGATTTCATCACTGGTTACCTGGTGCTGGAGGGGGATGACTCCTCTTGGTCTAGATTCCTTGAGCCTGGGGACTGACCCACAAAGTGGCTATAACAAATCGGTGCCCAGGGACACCCCGTTTTGTTAGCTGTGGTAGTTATCTGTACAGGTCTGCAGCAACCTCAATTCTTGCCTCCCCAGAAAAAAGAATTCAACTGAGGGGCAAAAGAGCAGAAGGAGAGACTGAGGTAAGTTTTAGAGCAGGAGTGAAAGTTTATTAGTGCAGTAAGGAAAGGAAGGAAAGTACTCTTGGAAGAGGGCCAAACAGATGACTTGAGACCAAGTGCGTGGCTTGACCTCGTGACTTGGGGTTTTATACGTTGGCATACTTCCGGGATCTTACATTATTTCTCCCGACTCCTGAGATCCTGTTGGGAAGCTGCTGATCACCAGTTCCAGGTGTTTTCTATCAACTAGGAGACTGCCTTTTGCTCGTGCTGGCTGTGACCAATTATTACTTTAGAGAGACAGTTAACAACAGCCTGATGGTCACCAAACACTCCTGACATGTGTATGGAGAGTCTTCTGCCGTACTCATACCTGGCTAGCTACCTACTGTAACACCTTGATCTCCACTTCTGATCTCCACTCAAATATGAGCGCCAATAAAGCCAATTCAAGTCAATTTCTTGAGTATCTTCTATGCATTTGCTATGGACACAGAGACTAGGGATCCCACAATTGGATGGGAGATGGAAGGATCTAATGCGTGACCCCACTGTGAAAGGCGCTTCTGGAGGAAGTCCAACGGGATGATGCCATGTGCTGCAAGGGGCCAGGTGGCAGGGAGTATAGCCCCTGGGAGTGCATGTGTGACCATCCTGGGCTCAAGTTCTCGGTCAACAACAAAGTGGTGTGACCTTGAGCAAGTTACTTCTCCGTGTCTCATTTTCCTCTTCCAAAGGCTCGAGGCAGAGATACTGAGAGGGTCATGTAAGGATCAAAGATAAGAGTATCAAGTGCTGGGCATGTGTTTGGCTTTCTATAAATATGACTCACAAATGACTACAGTTGTGTGACTCTGAATGACTCACCTCAATCTCCGGTCCTATTTCCTCATCTGTAAAATGTGAGAGTTACAAGCTCATGGCGCTAGTCCAAATCTCAGGTGTGTACAGAGCAGCAGATCTTTTTGTCTTTTGTAAATCAATTGAATTTCTGCAGTGTGCCCCCATCTTCCAAGAGCAAAGAAAGGGGTGGCTGAGTCTGGCATCCAGGGCCATCGTCCAGGAGAGTTTGTTGCTGAGCCGGGCTGGTGGTGCATCCCTCCCTTCCTCCCTCACTGACCCTCCTGCCTATCCCTGCCTTCCTCCCCAAGGTTGAGGGGAAAATAGAGCTTGGTCATTTTTGTCAATGCCCCATTGTTGTGCTTTGATCCAGGTGACTCTCCAGCATGCCAGGTCTTTGTTGTCCCTGCCCCAGCCCCCGTTGTGTCCATGCCCTGTCTGGGCCAACCGAATCTTCTGGAAGCTGCCTTAGTCATACTCCTCCAGACAGGCCACACAGCCGCTCTTCTCTGGGCTTTCCACTTCCCTTGGCTACCACCATGGAGCAGGGCTCAAGGCCCTGCCACTCAAGACCTGCCTGTCTCTCTTGCTTCTTCCTTCTGCATCCTCCAAGGAGCCTTGGGTTCTCACATGGGCTTAGGTTTCAGGCAACAGTGCCCTGAAAACCCTGCAGGTGACTTCTGCTTTCTGCTCTGCACACACCTTTTGTGAGGCAAAGAAAGGCAGAGCGGGCTTTTCCTTTCATGAGATAAAGAGAAAGCAGAAAACAGACTTTCTACATAAGTAAGACTCAGAATATTATTCAGCTCACTAAAAATCTGTAATATTTATGGTATATTTACTTAGTGTCAGACACTATGCATTTACTCCTTTAAAAATCTCCATTTCACAGATGAGCAAACAGAAGTTTAGAATGCTTAACTATGTTTCCAAGTCACCCAGCTAATAAAAAGTGGAGCTGGAATATAAACTTGGGTCTCTTTGACTCTTCTTAATTCTGTCACATGACCTTCCCTGCACCCTAAAAGTTTTTTGCAGTTCTTGGCCTGCCGGGATAAGCTCTCCTAATGCTTTGTGCTCTCTGGGTTAGGGTTCCTAATAGTGTGCAACTGAATGCTGTTAGACTGATTCCACTCTTGTGAACAAACACAGAGCAACCAGTGCTAAGGGATCTTTGATTCTTGGCTTTGAGAGTCACCTTCCAGTGGAAGAGTTGGCTGAGCCTGATGTCCAGGGTCTTTGTTCAGGAGACTTTGTTGCTGGGTTCAGGTTGGGTCACTGGTGACATGAGGCAGAGTGGTGCAGCCCTTCTTCCTCCTGATCTTGCTAATCCCAGAGAACCCTAGCCCTGCCCTAGATGCTGCAGACAGGGCCCATGGCACATGGATATTACTATCCTGAGGGGTGCCCAGAGGTGGGGAGGAGTGAGCTTGAAGCAGAGCTGCCTTCACACCGGATATTGTAAACACATTAAGCCTGTGGTGTAGTGTGCAGTGTGTTAGACTAGGAGTCTCAGGACAGTTCCAAGCTCTGTCTTCATTACAGGCCAACCCTTTGACCTCTCTGAGCCGCCATCTCCTTGTCTGCAGGACATCATAAGGATGTCACCTGCTACTTCTCCGGCTGCTTCTCAAAAGTAGTGGCAAGGCCATGCACTCATTCATTTGCTTAACCAAACATTCCTTGAGCACCTACTATTCCTTGAGCACATCACATTTGGTGCTGGTGTGACAGGAAGCACTGCTCAGAGGCAGGGCCATCAGTGTGGGGCATGCAGGCCCTGGCTTGGCAGGGCGGCCTCCTCAGGGAAGAAATCGGGAAGCAAGCTGTGCTATTTAGCGTTGACTTTGATCTCCGCTCGTGGCATCTGGGGAGGGTGGGTGCCACAAGACAGCTGGATGTGTTTGTGGCCACTTCCCAGCGCATGGGGAGCGGCAGTGTCCTGGCCTTCTGGGGACCTGGCCATCAGCTTTGTGAAGGGATGCGGCAGGGTGGGAGGCATTGCCATGGCGGGGATCAGGTCTCGCTGCATTCCTAATTCTGCTACAAAACATCAGTTCTGTTGACTGGCCTACTAAGTCTCCCTCCTGAGGCCCTTGCAAATCAAATGTATGCAACAGCAGAGCCTGTCCCTTTCCACATGCCAGCGTCTTTGGCTGCTCCTGCTTGTCCTTTCTTACGTCCCCACCAGGCCTCCCTCTCCACGTGGACATCTGTCCTGCCAGGCATTGGGCGGCTGGCATCGTGCTCTCCCACTCTCCCATGGACCTGAAGCCCTTGCCTTCCTATTTTGCCCACCTAACCCTTACACGGTCCTGATTTGCCAGCGTTAGCCTCCCCTGGTCCTTGGAACACGATCTTTTCCATCAGCTTCATGGCCACAGCCTTTGTTTTCCTTCTTATCCTGACTCTCTCTCTGGATACAAGCCTCAGAGAATCTCTGGCCTAGACTCCAGGGATCTCTACTCAACACACCCCTGCACATGTGCTTCTGAGGGGCTCTGTCTGCACACTCCAATGGGACTCAGAGGCTGAGTCTTGGCCTAAGCTGTTCCCTGCCCTATCACTGCCGTATTTCCCTTCTTCTATGCGGGGGCACTTGTCTGCCTTCCTGGTTCAGCCCTGCCCCGTTCTTCCAATGCCAGTGTGATGTGGCATCGATTTACCCCTCCCCTCCTCAGCACCCTTCCACCGTGGAACAGGGCCTGTGTCCCTAGGGGTGCCTGTGCCTCGGGCCTGCCTTCTCTCTTAGACTGTGCTCTGTAGGAGTGGAGGCCACACCTGCTCGGTGCTCTAAACCCCAAGCTCCACTCACGGGGATGACAGAACGAACAATTCCTCTCTGCCACAGATGTCACTTTGGGGGAAGACCGAGTCCCCCTGCCACTGGAAAACTGGGCCAGGGGCAGATTCATGGATAGGGCCGGCTACCAGCTTCCGGTGGAGTCAGATCGCGGGAGGAGAGGCAGATAAGGCTGGAGTGGGATCTGCGGGGAGCAGGCCTCTTACAGAGCATCAGGTGGAACATGGAACACATTTCTGGCAACGCCTCCCCTGTGTTGGCTTGAGAAGTCCCGTCTGCAAGTGGGGAGCAGTTCAGAGAGGCCTATGCTGACATTTCTCAGCCTGAAGACCAAGCATGTATATCTTTCAATTTTGAAGTCCCTGGAATACAGATATTCTGAGATAACACTCAGAATACCTAAGACCCAGCTGATAAGGGCCACAAATGGCCTGACTCAGTGTGAGTGGTCCCTATCAGCATGGGTCTTAGGTAGCCTAAGCGCTCTCTCACTGTATTTGTGGAGTGACCTACAGTTAGGAGCTATCTGAAGTCTGGGCTTCCAGCCACAGGACACCTGGCTCCCTCTATAAAGGCTGTGGAGCGGGCTCTGGCTGGAGCAGTGGCCAGCCTGCGGGCCAGGATGAGGTGCCTCGTGGTGCTCCTTGCAGTCTTTACTCTCTCCGAGGTCAATGCCATCACCAGGTGAACATCAGAGCCCAGGGGAGGGCAAGGGCATCTCGTCGTCCTCTCTGGGAGGTCTGTCCTTGGTCTTCCAGCCATTGGTCCTCCAGGGAGTCTTGGGAGAAGTGCTGCAAGTTCCCAGGATAACAGCTCCCTGTCAATCTTGCCTTTGCATACTGGGGCCTTTGCTTCTGTTTACTCCAGCACTTCACAGTGTGGTGAAAAGAACAGGGAGCCAGATGGGCAACTGGGGGAATAGGGCATGGCTCTGGAGTGAAACTGCCTGGGGTTTGATCCCCAGCTGCATCACTAACTTAACTCTCTGTGCCTCAGTTTCCTCCTCTGTTCATAAAATTTGAATAATGGTAGTGTCCATCTCATAGGGATGTTGTGAGGATTGTAGGAGTTAATATTTAAAAAAGGCTTCAAACAGTGCACACTGTAAGAGCTATATATGTATTTCTTAAACAAAATAAAGTTCTCTATTATACTAAGTCCAGGTTCTCCTCCCAAAATAATAACTGACATTGATTGAGCCGTTTGCTCCTAGGTGCCAGGCATTCCACTAAGCCACGAATCCTCAAGGATTAAGTAGATATTATCATTTGCATTTTACAGAGGAGACACTGTTGTTTAGGAAGGGTTTCTAAGGAGGGTCCCTGAGCTTCCTGAGGCTGCATGACTAGTAATGGAGGAGCTAGGACTCGGCCTCTGGTGGACTTGCACTCTCGCCATGACATCACACAGTAATCTGCAGGTGCTCAGGTTTGAGTCTGGTCAAATCCTGAGCACAGAGAAGCTCTGATCCCGCCCTGAGAATTCTGGATTCCTGAAAAGGGGTCAGGGTACCTTCAACTGGCCAGGAATCTTTGTGGCAGTCCTGAAAATACAGTTCCTCCAGGTCCCAGGGGGCGCTATCTGCCCCAGCATGTGGGATGTGAACAGCTGCCATTGTATGGCTCTCAAAGCACGTCTCAGCAGTCTCACAGAGGAGGGCCACGCGATTCTTAGAGGTACACGGGACCGTGGGAATCACCAAGTTCTACTTTTATCTACAGGAGAGGAAACTAAGGACCAGAGAGGTTAAGCCACAGGGCTAGTCAAAGGCAGGGCCAGGAGAACGGCTGGAAAGGAAGGGGTTAACCTAAGGGAGCTGAAGCTCAGAGGGCTCTGGGGAGCCACCCAAGTTGACACAGATAGGGCAGCGCCAGGTCTAGAACCAGCTTCTGCATTTCGTTCTCTTGAGCTCTCCACTGTTGATCTGCCTCCATCATCTAAAACTCAAGCTCCCTCAGGAGGCCCCTGTGAGACCAGGCTCTGTGCTGAGAAACACTTTGAGAATTTTCCACTCATCTTAGGGTAAAAGATATCCAGAGAGTGGAGAAAGGGGCTTGGCAGAGGGCAGGATCATTGTCTCAGCATTTGCCAGCATGTGGGAGACATCGTTTTTTACTGCAGACAGTGCGCTCCCGGCGGGCAGAGATGGTGCCCTTTCCAATATTGTGTCCCCCATGCCCTGTGCAGTGTCTGGCACAGCAAGAATTTGGTGACTGAATGAGTGATAATGTGCTTAGTGCCTTTCAAACCATGGGTTTCGAAACTCATTAGTGGGTTGCAAAATACCTCTAATGGGTCTCCACCAGCATTAGAAAAAGAGAAAAGCCGTAGAAAATATGAGAGTGCACTGCAGTTAGTAAGGATAGGCAGTGATTTTTGAACTGATGTAAAATACATTTCTTACTTTGAGTTATGATTTTAAAAAGTTTGAAAGTCATTGGCCTGGGGTCAGTGGGCCATGGATCAGAAAGCTGGCTGGGAACAGAGTGTAGGGAGTGGTTTATGGAGCCCACTTCTGGGAGGCTGGACAGCCTATGGGAGATGCACACCCTCCTTACGAATTCCTCCCCATCTCCTCAGGGTTCCTCTGCACAAAGGGAAGTCACTGAGGAGGACCCTGAAGGAGCACGGGCTCCTGGAGGACTTCCTGAGGAATCACCATTAGGTGGTCAGCTGGAAGCACTCCAACTCTGGGGTGGTGGCCAGCGAGTCTCTGACCAACTACCTGGATGTGAGTGGCTCTGCCAGCTTTTCCACTAACGAAGTGGAAAGCGTCCCTCTGCCTCTGCCTCTCCATGGCTGTTCCTCTTCAAGAAATCTTGGAGCCTGTGGTAGAGGCAGTCTCCCTGCTCTCAGTCACCGCCACAAGAGGCTGGCAGACCCAGCAAAGGCAGTACTCCTGTCTGCCGGCTCTGAATGCCACCACCACGAGGGTCTGAGCTCAGACGCCTTCCTCACACAACATCCCCCAGGGTGCATGAACTGCCTCCCCCTTCCCCCAACCACCATCCCAACCTCGCACCCTCGCACCTGCCTTCCCGGCCCGGGGAAGCCCTGTCTTAGTCTGACTCAGCAGGTGTGGAGACAGCAGGTGCTATTCTGCAGCTGCCCAGGACGCGGCCACCAGCTTGCTCTTCCTCCCACCCAGGACCCAGGCAGGAGCACCCCTGGTGCCTGTTCTTTCCTGGAGTATGTCTTTCCCTCAGCCGTCACTCTTGCCAGTAAACAACCAGCTTTTTTTCTATTCTGTGCTCTCATTTCCTTATCTAGGTCACTTTTGCTGCCCGCCCCCAGCCTCTGCTCTGACAGTGGGGAGAGCTGGCAGGGAGGCGCATGTGGAAGGGGCCACTTGGGCCGGGACTTGGGGCCTACACCTAGCTTATGCCCCACCTCTCTGTCCAGATTTCTTTTTGCCCTGGCAGGGGTGGCCCATGTCCCACCTGGGCAGGATTTTACTTTAGGACCCAGGTCTGCTTCTGAGGCTGATTCCAGTAGTGGTTGCAAGGCTTGTGGGAGGATGAGGCCAAGTGTGGCTGGGGGTGGGAGCCCAGGTGAGGGCTGGAGGTCAAGAACCCTCTTCAGTATCTTCCCCCTCCTTCCATTTCTTCCCCCTTGAGGCACCCAGGCCACTGAGAAGGAAGTTCAGGGCCTCCACATGATTCTCCTGCAGGTCTCCAACATTGTGGACTCCCACCAGACTGTGGGCCTGAGCACCCAGGAACCTGGCGGCATCTTCACCTACTCTGAGTCTGATGGGATCCTGGGGCTGGCCTGTCCCTCTCTTGCCTCTGAGTAATCAGTGCCCATGTTTGACAACATGATGCAGAGGCACCTGGTGGCCCAAGACCTGTTCTCAGTCTACATGAGCAGGTAGGAGCTGTGTCCAGCTAGGGCCTAAGTTTGATGTCCTTGTAAGGACTGTCAGCTGAGGAGAGTGTCCACTCCTCCGGGACGCTGCAACTCAAGGGTAGTCGCCAGCATCCAAGCAAACCTTCTCCTTTCCAGGCACATCCAACCTCTTGTCCTAAGGCCCATGATACACTGATTTATGCAGCCAGAGTTCACTGGACCAAAATGTGACTTTCCTTTCTGGCATTCAGAAAACAAAGCCCAATCCCACCTCTGCACAGGGGCTTTCAAGTTCTTTTTCCCAGAGTGGCAGGGCCTCAATAACCATTTGCTGATGTCATTGAGATGCACAGACTTTTACAGCTGACTCCAAAGGAGTCCAACCTACTCCTTTCACTAGGGAGGAAGCTGAGGCTTGGGGAGGGACCAACACCCTGAGTGGTGGTGGCCGAGCCAGGCCTGGAGCCTGGGGCTCCTGCTCCCAACCCTGCGCCTCCTACTCTACCTCCCTGCATCCTGTGATGATGCAGCTTGGCTCAGACAGAGGGGAGGATGGCAGGGAGGAGAGAAATGGACCCTCCCCAGGCGAAGCTGCTGGATGGCTGAGGCAGGGGAAGGCAGCTGGGAGCTAATTCGTGTATTCACTCATGCATTTACTCACTCAGTAGATACTTACCGGGCCCTTACTATGTGCAGGGGCTCTGCCAGAGATGGGGACAAATCAGCAGATAAGACAAACTGGCAGTTAACATTCTAGCAGGAGAGGCAGACACCACACCGTTACACACGTTATCGGAATCAAACAGTTGTGATAAGGGTGCTACAGGGGAGATTTGGGTGTGTCAGAGGCTGAATAACAGGGGAAGAAGCCCCATCTGAGGGCAGCCACGGCAGGCTTTGCTGAGGGAGGAGTGGGTGTTGTCTGGGGAGAAAGCATGCAGCAGAGCCAGGAGCTGGGATGGGCTGGATGAGTTCTAGGAGCCCAGGGCAGTGTTCCGGAAGTGAGTGGGTACAGTGTATGTTTCCCAGCCATGTGTGAGACACGGCCCTAGGAGGAACAGAGGGGATTTGCGTTCGGTTGGCAGTTTCAATCCAAAGTGTAGATTCCGTTGAAGATCCCCTTTCCTACTGGAGGCAGAAAGCCCTGGGTGGCAGCTGACAGGGAGTAGGGGCATAGGGAGACAGCTGGGCACACCCAAGGGTGGCTGGGGCACAGCCTGGCAGTCCCAAGACCTGTGGGGTGGGTTACTTCCTCTGGGGTCGGGCTGGGGGCTGCAGTGCTTAGGAGAAAGGGTGCTGCCGCTGACATCAGAGCAAGCCCAGCGGAGGAGGAGCCAGAGCAGGCTGGAGACCTCATCCGAAGCGTGGGTTGGGGATGGGGCGGAGGAGGATGGACTGGGTCTCAGTGGCGTTGGCCCCAGGGTGGGGCTGGGCACCGCTTTTCCGAGCCTTGCTGAAACAGCATGCTGCACTTTAGTTTCAGGGATGACCAGGGGAGGCTGCTCACGCTGGGGGCCATTGACCCGTCCTACTACACAGGCTCCCTGCACTGGATACCCGTGACTGTGCGAGAATACTGGCAGTTCACTGTGGACAGGTGGGTGAACGGCCACCCTGTGTGGGCCTCAGCCAGACACTGATCCAGGTGTGGGCACGTGAGGGCCCGGGCGTCAGGCCACCACACTCTGAGGACTGCATCACAGTAGCTCGTAAGACTACCCCTGAGAATCTGAACTAGACACTTCCAAGGTCGGTGACCTTTGTCAGTGCTAGTGCCACACATTCACCTGCACTTTATGAACAAGATCAGCTGCCTTTCTGGGGCACCTACCGCCTGCTAGGCACTGTGCTGAATGATTATATGACTGTCTCATTTATTCCTCACTGAGACCCCATGAGGTGGGTGCTACTATTAACCCCACTTTATAATGGACTGACATCGAGTTTGAAACTCAGGACCACCCCTTGAGGAAGTCAAGGAAGGGGTTATTAATGTACCCATTTTGTAGATGGGAAGCCTGAGTACACAAAGGTTGGGTAACTTGCTGGAGACACACAGCAAGTAAATGGCAGATCAAAAACTTGAAACCAGATCTCAGGCAATGAGTACAGTACTCGTTCTACCCCTTAATGTGGGTGAATTTGTTGTTTTATTGAAGTTTCTGCCCCATGGAAAGTGGGATGTCTTCAATTTAGCCACTGAATTGGAAGAAAATGGTTTTAGATCTTTTCTCTGGGCTCAGAAAGTACGGGGGCCTCCAGGAAGGGGCCCCAGGGAAGGGGCTGAGGGCTGGGGGCCTTCCCTTCCTACTTTGGATCCTGGCAGGGGAGGGTAGGAAGGACCCGGGGAGGGAGGGCTGGATGAGGCCCTCCTGCATACCCTCGGCAGTGTCACCATCGATGGCGTGGTGGTGGCCTGTGACGGTGGCTGTCAGGCCATCCTGGACACCGGCATCTTCCTGCTGGTGGGGCCGGGCAGTGACCTCCTCAACATCGAGCAGGCCATTGGAGCCACCACGGGCCAGTACGATGAGGTGAGGCCAGGCCCCACTGCCCCACAAGGTTCTCTTGAAGTGGAGGCCCCTTCACACAAAGGAGAAGATGCAGGGGTGGTGAGGGAGCCGGTTTCCCAGCTGAGGCTGGGGTTTCTCTGGAGGCCTCTGCTGGGGCCTTTGGCTTTGGCTCTATTGCTGTGGGAACCCCCATGCCTCCTGGAGCGGTTGCCGTCTGACCTCCCGTTCCTCTGGGAGAGATGCCCTCCCTGACGCACTGGCCTGTGCTGTGCCCCTTCTTCCTCCTCCACCCTGAGCCTGTCCCTCTCCCCTCGACAGCCAAGTGCTCCCAGCGTCCCTGTGAGCTCTGGCTGGGCCTAGATGTGGAGACACAGAGGCAACCCCCCTAGGTCCCAAGCTTGGGTCTGTCCCTGGGTTCATGACCGCTGTGGCTCTTTTGAGAACCATGTCTCGGGACCGGGCCTCACCCTGAGAGCCTCCCTGTGGTCCTAGGTGTAGGCAGGGCCCCCTGCCTGCCCCATGGATCATGGGATGGCAGGAGGGGTCCTGGGCCTCTTCCAGTCAGCTTCCACCCTCGCCGCTTCTCAGAGGACCTCCCTTGGTTCTTTAGTTCAACATGGACTGCAGGCGCCTGAGCAGCATGTCCACCGTTGTCTTCGAGATCCACGGCAAGAAGTACCCCCTGCCACCCTCCGCCTACAACAGCCAGGTATGAGTCTCAGAGGGGAAGCCCGGGCTCCTCCTGCCCCTTCTTCTTCACCAGCTGCCTCCCCCACCCCCCAGTTGGGCCCTGGTGAGGCAGTGGTGGTGGTGATAAGAAGTGGTATGGACTCCACAGAGAATGGAGGGGCATGTGTTTGGACCAACCGGCCCTTCTGAGTGGGCCGTGTTGTCCTGGGGCCTCATTTGTGGCCACTTCAGCCTCATCCTGGGAAAAATGGGGAACAGCAGGGGGGATGCGCCAAGGTGTCAGGGAGGGTGGAGTAAGCAGGGCCACAGCTCCCCATGGGAACCTCCCTCTGCTGCTCAAGCTTCTAAGTCCTGGGGCCTAGAGCTCTGTGCAGGGTTTGCTTAGCCAGCCTGGGCTTTGTGGGGCCCGGCCCTTGGCCCCACTGACCACTGACCTCCAGCCCCAGGCCTGCGCTGGCTGGTCATCAGGGCAGTAGGTGCTGAGAGCAGGAGGCAGGGGCTGGGGAGGACGAGTGATGGGGAGTGGGGTCCAGTGCAGGGAACAGGACTCAGGATGCCAGGACCCTACCCGGTGATCCTGCATTATGTCATTTTAGTTTTTGAATCTCAATCTCTCCATCTGTTGAGACATGAATCTAATACTTGTTTATCTGGGAAGGTCATTTCAAGGATAAAATGAAGTCACAGAGGAGGAGGAGTTGTGGGTAGGGTATAAACGCCTATCTTTAGGCACAGCAAATGGGATTGGGACCAGCGTCATCTCCGCCTTGCCTTCCCCAGGACCAGGACTTCTGGACCAATGGTTTCCAGGGTGACTATAGTTCCCAGCAGTGGATCCTGGGGGATGTCTTCATCCAGGAGTATTACAGCATCTTTGACAGGGCCAATAACTGTGTGGGGCTGGCGAAGGCTGTCTGATTGCATCACTGGCCACGGACCTCAATGTGACCAAACACACACACGCACATAGATGAGATGTGCAGGCAGATGGTTCCCAATAAACACCACATTTCTCCAAAGCCTGACTTCCCTTGTTGTCACCAGGGCTGAAACCCTGCGCCATTGTGGGGGTGGATGTGACTGCCAGGTGGTGTGTGGGCACAGCAGAAACTACGTAGTGGGAAGGGTTGGTGGATGGAGACTACCTCAAGGGCAATGACTATTTCAAGCTCAGGTCAGGGAAGACCAAGGCGTGCCTTACCTACCTGTCCTTCACTCTAGAGCTTTCTGGGCAAAGGGCACAAGAGGGGAGACCCTCGCACGATAAGACTCGTTTGTTCCTGGGGAATGAGAGGTAGGGGCATGGTGGTGTGGGGATGTATAGAGAACACTTGGCCCCTGGAGAGGAAGTGTCTAGCTGTATTAAGAGAGGGGCCTCAGTGCTGTTGGAAGAAGCCAGATGAAAGAGTGAGCAGGGAGCATGGGGAAAGATCTGAGTCCTAGGCTGCCATCCACCCTGGGGGAGAGCCACAGTCCAGACTCAGGCTCAGGGGCTCAGGCCCTGGCAGTGGTCAGAGCAGTGCCATTGCCGATGAAGTTCGTGTTAACCTGGCTTTCAGAGGTCGATGCGTCAAAGCCAAATGCCAGTGTTCAGAGTTCCTGTGAGCGCCCAGGCTCACAGAGCCCTGTACATTCTGCTGGGGGAGAGCCACGCAGGAAATCCAAGTATTACTGGGTCACACAAGGGGATTCAGGTGGCTTTAGGAAGTTTTTGTCGGTGATGCTACTTTGAGGCCCCTCAGCTACCTTGGGAGGGAGGTGGACAGCTCTTGGGTAGATCACAGTGCCTGGATTCTGCTTGGCAGACTCCCTGGACAGTGCTCTGCTGGGAGCTGCAAGTGTCTGCTCTCCAGCCCTCCTCTCTTTTTCTTTGCACTCCCCGCTTTAGATAGTCCTTTTCCCATCAGGAGGAAGACAATCTAACAGGTCTTTGTTTTCTAAATCATAGCTAGTCTTGTCCCCTCTGCTTCACCTACCCCAAATATAGTGATCGGGCTTTGTCACACCTTTACAGTAGTTCAACCCTCAGAAGGCCTTGGGAAGGGGGTGGCCCTACCTCAGGCTGACCACAGGCCTGCTCTGCAAACAGCTGGAGCAGGTGAGTAACGCCCGTGTCCCCAGGAGCCGGAAGTCGTAAGTTTGGCAGTGACGCTTCGCAAAGGAGACTGCCCTTCATGAGGAGTGAGGTGGGGGGCAGGAGCAGAGTGGGCTCTGACTTCTTTCTCCCAGTGGCAGCTGCTAATGGGATCTGGTTGACAAGCCATCTGGGGGCATCTCCTGGGGCCTTTCTTCGTGGTACCCAAGGACAAAAGAAATGAGGGGCCCAGGGCAGTGGAGATGCTGCCTGTGGTGCCTGTCTGGGTTTGCGGCTGTGCAGCCAGCTTGGCCACAGAGGCAGCCTGTGGCCTCCTGCAGGGAAGAGGCTGGGCTGTGGGGATGAAATGGAGCAGGAAGGCTCAGGCTGCCATCCCTGGGTCAGCCGAGGAGCTGGGCATGGGATGGCACAGAGGCCACAGGAGAACATCCCAGGACTTCAAGGACAGAGGATGGTGCCAGCAATGGGCAGGCCTTGGTGTTTGAATCTTACTGGGCCAGCGAGGTGAGCGAGCTGCCAAGGAGTCAGTCTGGCTTTGGGAGGCTTCTCGAAGCCTCGCTGTTCTTAGCTAGGACCAATACTGCCTGTTTGCTAAGAACGAGACAGAATTGGGCCACTTTCATTATTTTTATACTTCTTGTATATTTAAAAAAATGCCAAATAGGCTTACAAAAATGGTTATAGATTTCAATGGTTTACATTTAGCAACTGTATTTTAAACACCCACATCCCAACTGGAGATAATGTAGAAAGTCTAAATATGATGACTTTCACAAATGTGAGGTTTGGACCAAATGGTTCGGTCTTACCCCCTGCCCAGTTGGCCGTGGTGGTGACCCCTGGGAGGGCAGTGAGGGCACAGCCAGGCTGGCATGGGGGGCAGCTCCCCACTGGGGCTACCTCGGTGTTGCAGCACAGCACCCCTGTGGCCTCAGCAATGTTCCTGGCTGCAGAGCACTCTCTGCCTGGAATGTTCTCTGCTCTCCACCTCCTCTGACTTTCAATCAACCTTCAAACCTCAACTCAGTCCACATCGCTTCAGGATGCTCCTGACCAGCCTGGGGGCTTAGTATCATACCACTTATTTCCCTGTGGGTCTTCCTCATGGCCTGTGGGCTTGCTGAGTACAGGCATTGTGTACTTCTCATTTTTTTTCTTTTTCTTTCTTTCTTTTTTTTTTTTTTTTTTTTTTGAGACAGCGTCTGGTTTTGTTGCCCAGGCTGGAGTGCAGTGATGCAATCTCCACTCACTGCAACCGCTACCTCCTGGGTTCAAGTGATTATCCTGCCTCAGCCTCCTGAGTAGCTGTTATTAACAAGCGTGTGCCACCACACCCAGTTAAGTTTTGTATTTTTAGTAGAGATGGGGTTTCACCGTGTTATGCAGGCTGGTCTTGAACTCCTGACCACAAGTGATCCGCTCACCTCAGCCTCCCAGGCATGAGCCTCCATGCCTGGCCTCACCTCTCATTTTGATATTTTAGGTGCCCAATTCATGGAATGTCCCATAAAGTGTTGTAGGGTGAAGGAAGGAATGAGTCACTCGGTGAGGTCCTCTAGAGTCACACTGCTTTCTCCGTCTCCTCTTTCCTCTTGGACCTTATATCCCCCCTTCCCAGCACACACTCAGGTCCATTCTCCATGTCTTCTCCCTCCCTTGGCTGACCTAGAACACGCCCCTTTCCCTTGCTGTCCGCCTGGAACTCCTCTGTGCATGTTGGAAGGACAAACTGCCACCAGGGCTTTAAGGTTCTGGGAAGGGGTCCACATTGGGCTCTGTGGTCAGGCCTTCTGGGGGCTGTGCCAGGTGGTGAATGAGGAGGTTTTGGGAAGTGGCCACCAGCACATCCGTGGTTTGCTTGTGAAGAGGGCCTACCTGGAGGCCAGGGAGGAGCTGCAAGGCTAGAGGGGTCCCTTTGCAGGGCGGGTCTGACTTGTTCCTGGATCTCCCACCAGCCCTATCTGCCGGTAGGGTCCAGGCAGGGAGAGGGCAGCTGAGGAAGCCTTGGTGGCCATTCACGTCCACCCAGCAGGTGTTGCCTGCCGTCTGTCCTGCCACAGCCACGTCTAACACCTGCAGGGCTCGCCTCTGGGAGTTTGTGCCCCCTGTTCCCTTTGCCTGCTATGCCTTTCCACCTTCTCTAATCTGTGAAGTGCTCCTTCTCCTTCAAGGCCAGCCTAAATGTCACCTCCTCTAGGGTCCCCCCTCCTCCGCTTTCTCATTGCATTTGTTGTGTCATAGTCGTTCATGGACACATTTGTCCCTCTGACTGAATTGCTGACGAACAGTGCCTGCGTCCTTCCTCCCTGAATCCTCAGCGCCCAGCAGAGTTCCTAGAACGCTGCGGAGGCTCAGTCAGTGCCCGAGGGTGGCTTATGCTTTGCGATGCAGCACAAGTAATGAGTGCTGACAGATGCAAACTCACAAAGACCAGGTGTGGACGTGTGCACAAGCACACACACATGTACACACAAGTACACACATGCACACCCATGCCCTGCCCCTGAGTGGATACAGACCCAGGCCTCAGTTCTAGAGCCCTATTCCCAGCCCCTCTCCTCCCCTGTCACTCAATGCCTTGCCAGTTCTTATGCTAATGAGAGGAAGCGTTTGGGCAGAGAGAAGCTTGGAAAGGAAGTCTTTGAAATGGAAATGTTATGACAAAATGATGGATTGTTTTCCGAGCTGTGCAGTTTGTTTCTTTCTTGCAGCAGAAGGGAGAGTATAACAGAGACAGGAGTGGCAGAGGCTGCCCATGTCAGCAAGCCCCAGATGGCAAGGAGTGTGGGTGAAACACCCCGGGAACATGGGGTGAGGGGAAACTGCAGAGCGGGCAGAGGGACACGGCCCAACTACTGTCCAGTAGCCCCGGTCATGGTTGGGGCCCAACTGGCCAGAGCATACAACAGTTGTCTGGAGGAGGTGGGGTCTGTGAAGACCAGGAGGGACATCAGACCCGTCCTTCTGCCAAGGCTGGCGTACTCAACACCCTGCAGGGCTCACCTCTGAGCCTCTGTGAGTGCTGTTCCTTTGCCTGATGTGACTTTTTCTACCTTCTCTAACCTGCAAACTGTTTTCATCCTTTAAGACCAGCTGATGTGTTACCCGCTCTGAGAAGACTCCTACTGTACATGAGACCTGCTTCACCCAAACTCCCTAAAGCATAGGAGTACTCATTGGCTGATCCCTAGTTCCTCGATTTACTTGGGGCTAATTAGAATTGTTGCCTATCTTACTCATTAAAAATATGCATTGCATACTTGCTGTGTGCAAAATGCTGTTCAAGGCACTGTGTACATAGGTGAACACAAACAGACCCTCCATCGTCATGGGACTTATGTCCTGGGGGGACCCAAACAATGAGATCATAGATGCGTAAGTTACGTGGCTTCTGGGTGGTTATAAGCACATGGGAAAAGTGGAGTGCTGAGGGAACACACTTTGCTTTGAAATGAGGTAGGAAGGGCAGGCTCAGTGAGAAGGTGACATTTCAGCAAAGACATGAAAGATGGGTCAGCCATGCGGAGATGGGGGCAGGGATGGTGTGTAAAGTCTAAACACATTAGCGTTTAATAAAGAAGCTACAGGTGGATACATATGGATACATTATTTTTTGCTTATGCCAGTTATCTTTCTAATGAAAAATAAGTTGCATCTAAATCGTTTTGTATCTTTTATAGCACTTAGTGTTTGACACGGAGTAACTGTTCAGTAGCATATGTTGAATTAATAAACTCCAGACTATTTCCCTCTAAACCCTTTAGCCGTGGTGAGAGCTGCCCAGGAGTCAGCTCTTGTCCTGGAGCGCCCTCTAGTGACCAAATCTCAGATGCCAGTTTTGTACACCTTGTTCGCATGCTGTAACATTTCTGCTTCCCGCCCCAGGACAATTTAGGGACAGTGGCCAACCAAGCAACAGAATTAACTAAGAGTCCGCCGGGAGCGGTGGCTCACGCCTGTAATCCCAGCACTTTGGGAGGCCGAGGCGTTTAGATCACGAGGTCAGGAGATCGAGACCATCCTGGCTAACATGGTGAAACCCCATCTCTACTAAAAACACACACACATACACAAAAAAAGGAAATTAACCAGGGGTGGTTGCGGGCGCCTGTAGTCCCAGCTACATGGGAGACTGAGCCAGGAAAATGGCATGAACTCAGGAGGCGGAACTTGTAGTGAGCGGAGATGGTGCCACTGCACTCCAGCTTGGGCGACAGAGCAAGACCCCTTTTCCAAAACAAACAAACAAACAAACAACTAAGAGTCTCCTATGTGCAGGGCACAGTGGCAGCTTCTACACGAAGCATGCAGTCTCAGGATATGTGGCCCCTTCCCTCAAATCCCTCACTCACTGGACATCTCTCTGGTTAACCATTTCCTTCTCAATCTTTGCTCTCCGATAATCCCCCCTTTCTGATCTTTCTGGATCATCTGTAATACTGGAATTGCATTTTGAGCTAGGGCTG